AAAATCCTCCTGCAGGGGGACGTGGCCGGCTTAATGCTAGTCGTCGACCTGCACCGTGGCTGGCCAGCTCGCTCGCTCGCTCGCTCGCTGTCTCTCGGGCGGGGAACGAGGGGGGGAGTGAGAAGGAGAAGGCCTCCTGAGGAGGCGGCGGGGCTTCTCCAGAAGGCCTCCGGCCTTCTTGTCCGAGAGCCGGGGGACTTCCGAGCCTGCGGGGGAGGCCCGCCTCTTCTCGCTTTCCCCCCTCTGAATGCTCGCCGCCGGCTCGCGGCGCCCCAAGCTCGCCTCTCTACGCTCCAGCTCCGACGAGAATGCCCAAAACATCATCCCCAAATCCTCAAACATCATCCCCCGACGATTTTTCGACCACTTCGGAACAGTCCTCCTGCAGAGGGACGTGCCCGAGTTGGCTCTGACGCCGCTGCGCCGCCCCGCCCGCCAGCGCCGCGACGGACGGCCCGCGCGGCTCTCGCGCAGGCCCAGGGCGGGCCGGCACGCCCAGGCCGGGAGCTCGGCGGGCCACGGGCGCGCATGCCAAGCTCGTCGAGTTGCTGGCCCCGGTCGGGCCCCCCCTGCAAGGAAATGGCCGCTCGCGCAGCGCAGCGTGCACAGATCCAGAAGCTGTTGTGCAAGGGCCGCCGTTTTCTTGTGCAGGCAGATGCAGTGACCGTGCAGCCAAAGCCTGGAGGCAAGGGCCACCCTGGGCTCAGGAGGGGTCCCGGCGCTCGGGGTCAAGGGACCTCTCCGCGGCCGAGGGCCGCCGTGCCCAGAGAGGCCCCCGCGTTCTTACTCGGCTCCTTCTGCTCCACCTGCTCCTCCTCCTCCTCCTCCTCCTCCTCCTCCTCCTCCTCCTCCTCCTCCTCCTCCTCCTCCTCCTCCTCCTCCTCCTCCTCCTCCTCCTCTTCCCTATGACAGTACGACGACGGTAATATCAGGCGGATCGGCACCGCGCTGCTGCAGCTGCTGGGTGATCAGTGCGTTCGCGCAGACCTTCGCCCAGTCTCGGAGGGGGACAACGGCACATAGTACCGATGCCGCTGCCCCACCCTCTCGTCCCGCCGCCCTCGTCGCCACCGCTGGATTCGCCTCGGAATCCTGGCCAGGGCGCACCCCTGGGTGTCGGCGTTGTCTGTCCCCCCCCTTCTTAGGCTGTCGCTCGTTCGTCGCGGCCGCCCTGGCCCTGCGAGCCCGTGGCAGCCCCCGCCCGGCTCTGCGAGAGGAGGAGCGCGAGCCGACGGTGGGGCGGGGCGCCTGCCGATGATGACCTGCGTCGCGCGTCTCCTTCTCTTAAGGGAGGAAAATCCACCCGGACCGGACAATTGGCGTTTACCAAACGGCTCTGGGCGTTCACTAAATAGCCGTGCCCTGTTCGATTCCTTTTCGGGCGCGTTTGCTAAGCGACTTCGCGTGTCGGGGTGATTATTGTGGGGGTGGTTTTTTGACGTCTATTCTTGGTGCAGCAACGCCGTCAACGGAGAGCCGGCAAGCCACAGACGTAAACGTTCGGTTTCCCGCGAACCCTTTCTCCGCCGCCGCCTGAGTCACTCCCCGCACGCCCCTCCCCCGGCGCGTGCGTCCTGCGACGGAGAGGTCGCCCGCGGGGGCCGAGAAGCGTATGTTTGCACACTCCTGGTTATCCGTTCGCGGCGTTGCCGAGAGGAGACGCGCGGCACGTTCAGATCCCCGGCTCTTCGGGGTTCAAGAGACGGGGGTCAATGCAAACGGGGGTCAGCCAGGGCACCGGGTCCTGCAGGACCCTGCGAGGACACCCTCTGGCTGACCCGGGTTAGCGAGCCGCGAGGCGGCCGCGCATATTGGCTGACGCGGGCTTGCGAAGACCAGCGTTGCAGTTTTTTGATCCTGCATTTCAGTTTTTGGTTTCCTGCTGGCCCTGGTCTGGAGTGACCCGGGTCAGAAGATCCCCGAGCTCTTCGCGGCCACCTGCATGCTCTCCCCATCCTCCGGACGGCCCTGGAGCTCCGACGCCTTGCTTTGTTGGACAACGGTTGCTCCTCGGGGTCTGGACCCGGAAAAACTCTTTTTCCCGGCAAACTCGACTTTTTCCCGGCAAACTGGACTGTTTCCCGGCGATCCGTTTCAGAAGCATTTAAAGCTTTTGAAAAGCTTTACAGAGTTCCCTCCGACGACGGACCCTGGAACCTCCGACGCGGCCGCCTTGGGGCCTCCTTAGGCCCCCTTGGGGCCTCCTGAGGCCATCTTGGGGCCTCCTGAGGCGCCTCTTGGGGCCTCCTGAGGCCATCTTGGGGCCTCCTTAGGCCCCCTTGGGGCCTCCTGAGGCCATCTTGGGGCATCCTGAGGAGCCGCTTGGGGCCCCCTGAGGCCTTCTTGGGGCCTCCTGAGGAGCCGCTTGGGGCCCCCTGAGGCTGTCTTGCGGTCTCCTGAGGAGCCGCTTGGGGGTCTCCTGAGGCTGTCTTGCGGTCTCCAGAGGAGCCGCTTGGGGCCTCCTGAGGCTGTCTTGCGGTCTCCTGAGGAGCCGCTTGGGGCCTCCTGAGGAGCCGCTTGGGGCCTCCTGCGGCTGTCTTGCGGTCTCCTGAGGAGCCTCTTGGGGTCTCCTGAGGAGCCTCTTGGGGCCTCCTGAGGAGGTATCAGGGTATATGGGGTTATCAGGGTAAGGGGTTACAAGGGTTAGAGGGGTCACAGGGGTTTGGGGGATTAGAGGGGGGGTCAAAGGGGTTAGAGTGGTTAGAGGGGTTACAGTGGTTAGAGTGGCCTTGCGCCATCGCTGCGTGTTTCAGAATGGAGCGGTGGGGAACCGAAAGCGCGAGAATCTCAAATTCTGGACCACTCGAGGCATGTCGGCAGTATGCCTCAAGTGGTACCGAAGAAGTACGTCTTGAGGCATGTCCGTTGTATGCCTCAAGCAGTACCGATCAGGTATCACTTGAGGCATGTCGGCAATATGCCTCAAGTGGTACCCAATGTATGTGTGTCGGGATCTCGTGTTACGCCTTTCGGGGGTCTTTGGGAGGCAGTTTTGAAGCCTCTTGGGGGCCGTTTTAGGGCCTCTGGGAGTCTTTTTGGGGCCTCATGGGGGCTTCTTGGGGGCTGCTTGGGGCTTCTTGGGGGCCTCTTGGGGGCCTCTTGGGGGCCTCTGGGGGCCTCTTGGGGCACTCTTGGGCCCCCCTTGGGCTCCTGGGGGCGGAAAGTTTGATTGTTTGAATTGTTTGTCGCCCTCTTGGACCCCTGTTGGTTCCGTCTTGGAGCCCTCTTGGGCCGTCTTGGAGCCCTCTTGGGCCGTCTTGGGGCCGTCTTGGGCCGTCTTGGGGCCGTCTTGGGGTTCTCTTGGGCCCTCTTGGGGCCGTCTTGGGGGCCTCTTGGGCCGTCTCAGAGCGTCGGGAAGCCGAAAAGGCGAGAAAGCAAAAAACATCGAAAAACACAATGGGAAATCAACAATGTTAGCCTCTTGGGGCCCTCTTGGGAGGCCTCTTGGGGGCCTCTTGGGCCGTCTTGGAGGCCTCTTGGCCCGTCTTGGGGCCATCTTGGGCGTCTTGGAGCGCTCTTTGGGCGTCTCGGGCCCCTCGGGCCCCTCTTGGGCCGTCTTGGATGCCTCTTGGGGCCCTCTTGGCACGTCTTGGGGCCTTCGTGGGCCCGAAAAAGTCACGCGGCCAGCTGCGACAAGGCCCAAGGCAGCTGCGACAAGGCCCAAGGGAACCGCGACAAGGCCCGGGAGATTTTGCAATTTGGGCTCTGGTGCCCTTAATGATTCCTCAGGAGCGAGGACTCAGGCTCAGGGGACGAGGCAGAGGACCTCAGGAAACGCCCACTCCGTGCCCAGAGGCACGGTGGCGGATAACCAGTAGTACGTCTACCTGGACGGTTTTTGACATCGCTTACGAATACTTCTGCTTTTACTACCACTAATCTTTCCACTACTACAACTACTATTCGTAATCTCACTATCCTTAATACAATCACTCCTAGTAGTACTAATCCACTAACCCTACTACTACTACCTACTACTACTACTACTACTACTACTACTACTACTACTACTACTACTACTACTACTACTACTACTACTACTACTACTACTACTACTACTACTACTACTACTACTACTACTACTACTACTACTACTACTACTACTACTACTACTACTACTACTACTACTACTACTACTACTACTACTACTACTACTACTACTACTACTACTACTACTACTACTACTACTACTACTACTACTACTACTACTACTACTACTACTACTATTACTATTACAAACACTGCGAGGAGTAGTGCTACGGCGAAGGCCGCACGACACAAGTCAACCACTGGACTCTTTCCCGGCTAGGATCTGCGCAGCGGGAGTTGGAGACCCTTAAGGTGATAGTGGGATTTTCGGAAATCCATGCTTCAAGCTTCCATACAAAAACTAAGCAAACTGGACTCTTTCCCGGCGGAGCGCCGGGGAAAAGTCCAGTTTGCCGGGAAAAAGCCCAGTTTGCCGGGAAAAAGTGGACAACCGTCTGGACCCCTTCCCCAGGACCCGTTCTTCATTTCGGGTGGTTTTGTGGCGGCAACTCACCGCCCACCAAACCACCCCTGCCCAACCCGACGGCCCAACTTTTCCTTCGATTTCCAGTGAGAGGGGGGTCGGGGAACATCGAAGTTTGGGTCTTCGGGAAGGGTTGGGGTGGTCTGGTAGGCAGTCAGCAACGGGGCCCAGTGCATGAGGGCCCCGTCGCGATTTTTCGAGAGGAAGTGCGGGAGCAAGTCGGAAACAGGGGCGGGCCCAGGCATGCGACGTCTTGATTTTTGTCAGGACGGGGTCCCCGGAAGTCCCGACCCTTTCCCCAGGACCGGCTTCTCATCCTGAGTCGTTTTTGGTCGGTCCCGAGGCCCGGCGAGGGCCCCCAGGTGCCGAACATAGCGACAACTTGGCCGCCCTGCTTTTCTTACGACGCGATCCTGCCTGGGGGCGCTTGCCGCGGGCGGGACGGCCTGCACTCGCAGCACGCCGCCGGCCCCCTCGAGCTCCCCAGGAGTTCCTCGCCGTCCACCTGCCGAACCTCGCGGACCAGGGCAGCGCCGGCCGGTGCCTCCGCCGCCCTGCCGAGCTTGCGCCCCAGGGGGGCCGTCGTCGCCGTCGTCGTCGTCGTCGTCGTCGTCGTCGTCGTCGTCGTCGTCGGTGGAGGTGTCGGCATCGGCGAAGGATGCGGTATTCCCCAGGCTAGGAGAGACCGCTACCCTTGCCTCGTGTTCGCCTTGTTGGGCCTCCTGGGAGGCCCTCGTCGCCGCGGCTGGATTCGCCTCGAAATGCTGGCCAGAACGTACCCACGGAGAGGTCCGGAGCAGCGGCATTGGTTTGCTTTATTGTCCGCGTAAGCAACGGGTCCCAGTGCTGTATGGGGTCGCTATTCAGGAGGCTTGCGCCATTCCGCCGACCTTCCGAAGAGGCAGGTAGTCCACGGTGGAGGCGTCGTGGGTTTCTCGGGCACTATCTGAGGACTCTTGTGGGCGTCTTGGGAGCTGTTTGGGGGCCTGGTGGAGCCTCTTGGAGGTAGTTTTGAAGCGTCGTGGGGGCCGCTTGGGGACCTCTTTGGGGCATCTTGGGGCTTATTAGGGGCCTCTTTTAGGCCGCTTGGAGGCTTCTTGGTTGGGGGGGAGCAATTGGGCGGAAAGATAGGGGTTTTAGTTGGTGTTCTCCCTCTTGGACTCTCTTGGGCCCCTCCTTGGGTCGTCTTGGAACCCTCTGGGGCCGCCCTGGGGCCCTTGTAGGGGGCCTCTTGGGCAGTTCTGGGGCGATGGCCTTCGGCACATCCCGCCACCGCGCCTGGGTTGTAGGTCAGAGGCCTCAGGGATGCTTGCGGGGATCTATTGGGAAGCCTCCCGGAAGCCTCTTGTAGGCGGTTTTGGGGTGTCTTCGGGGACTCTCAGGGGTCTTTTGGCGGCATCTTGGGGCGAAGGACTTGAAATGTCAGTTCCTGTTCCCCCTTTTGGGGCCTCTCTTGGGCCCCTCTTGGAGCCCTCTGGGCTATCTTGGCGGCCTCCTGGGCCGTCTTGAGGCCCTCCTGGGCCTTGGGGGCTCTTGGAAGCTTCTTGGGCCGCCTCGGGCCGACATGGGGGGCCTCTTGGGCCGTCTTGGAGCATTTGAGAGCTAGTCACGGCGAGAACATTCAGATCCTTCAAGAACACAGCAATGATTTGGGCGTCCCGGGGCCCTCTTTGGGGGCCTCCTTCAGCCCTCTCGGGGGTCGTCGGAGCGCAGCTTGCGAACTGGTGCCGTACACGCGGGTCGTGCTCGAAGACTTTGCCGCTGTGCACCGGCTGAAAAGCCGGTGCACACCGCTGGGGAAACCCAGCGAAAACGCAGAGCAGTGGCTGGACTCAGCCAAGACCAGCGATTGCACCACATAGGTGGTGCGATTCATATTACAGGGAGCACGTGCGACATTTTTGCCGCTCCAGAATGAGTGCAGCTCGAAATCGCTTGCGCCGTGTGCCCCAGGCCCAACCCACCAGCATTTTCAACCAGATTGGGGCCTGTGCAGCACAAGCGCGCCGTGCACGGCGCCAGACATGAAGCGAGGAGGTACGTCCAGGCGGACGGCGATTACTCTGTGTGCCGCCAGGATTCCGCCAGAGCTTCCGCGACATTCGTCACCTCTCGGACTCCCCCCCCAACGCACGCGCAGAGATGCTACGCTCGGGGGCTACAGAGTTTCTGCCCGACGACCCAGTGGAGCCCGTGTACGGGGACGACAGGGCCCCGTGCAGGCAGGCGTGCACGGCGAGGCGCGCCAAACCTTTTTGTTGCTGCGGGAGCGGTGGAGGCCGCCGCGAGAGGCGCCACGGGACGTATGCGCAGAGCTGAGTGGGCGCGCGCTCGTGGGCGAAGTTGCACACGCTCGCTCGAGACGCCGCGAGCTTTTCCTTATAGTTCGGAGGTGGATCGACCTCCTACCCTGACACGTCGATTAAAGAATTGGCCGTTTTCGGTTCGCGAGAGGGCGTACGGGCCAAGGCATTCTTGCGGGTCCAGGTCCGCCGGTTTCGGTCCCAGGCCATTTTCACTAAGGGGAGGTTTATTAAAGGGAGGTTTGTCCACCGCCGAATAGTCAACCTGCATAGTAAGGATGGGCAGCTTTCCCAAGGGTGCCCTTGCATCCTTGCCCCTTCGGCCCATCCTTGGCGACGTTCGCTGGCCAACCTCGTCCGAAAAACGTCAACATCGCCTTTTAAGGCCCTGCCATCCTTACCGCGCATCCTCACTGTACGGGTTGACTGTAGGAAGAAGGAGGCGTCTTGGGGGCCTCTGGGGCCGTATGTGGCCACCTCGGGCATCGTGGAGCGATCTCTGGGCGACACGGGGCCATCTTGGACCGTCCTGGTGGCCTCTTTTGGGCCCTCTTGGCCCGTCAGGGGGGCTCTTTTGCCTTTTGGAAGAATCACGCGACCGACCCCAAGAGCACCCACGAGCGCCCATGAGATTGGCCTTTGGGCCCCTTGGAAGAAAGTTCAACGTACTCAGTACAGAGAGTTCGAAGGGACCCGAGGACACTCCAACTCGTGCCTCACGGTACGGTGGCGGCTTCCCAGGTCTTTCTCCAAGTGCCAATCATTGTCCTCCGTCGTCGTCGTCGTCGTCGTCGTCGTCGCCCTCCGCATTCCTCTTCGTGCTCGCCCTCGTTCTTTTCGTCCTCGTCCTTGTGCTCATAACAAGCCCATGAAAGCGGCGCTTCCCGGTCCAGGCTCAAGTCGGGCACGTCCCTCCACAGGAGAGAAGGTATTCAGAAGCGGTCCAACAACAGTCCGGGGAGGACCTATTGTCCTATGTTTGACCGCACAGGAGCATTTGTTTGGCTACCTCTTTATTTGTTGGCCAGCATCCCCCTGCGGGAGGACGTGCCCGACCTCATTCCAGTCCGTTCCGGTTCCCGGGCATCCCCAGACGCCTTGCGAGATGCGCGCGGCGTGGCGTGACCGTGCCGGGGGGTCGGCGAGGGCCAGGCACGGGTGGGCCTGGCATCGCTCGGACGTGTGCAATTTTCCTCTCGGCGAGGACCCTGGAAGAGCGTCCTGGAGCATCGGGCAAACAAAAACACGCACGACGCCGGAAAAAAGTGCACAGGGAATGGACGTCCGAGCGACGGCAAGTGGGGCAGCGCGAACGAGGAGCAGAGCAGCGGGCTCCCGTGGAGCCCACAGGTTCTCCGTGGCCCGCACCGCGATCCCCGCCCGCCATCGTGAGAGCAGCTTTCTATCCCAAATCCCTTAGTAATCGTCCCCCGGGTCCGGTTCTGTAAGGCGCCCTTTGTGCAACTGGGGGGGTCCGGTTTATTAGGGCGCCTTCGTTGGATTGGAGCTTAGGGGGTCCAGTTTGGAAAGGCGCCCCGTCGAAGAGGGGGGGAATATTAGGTCGCATTTGGAGGGGGGTTTGGTTTTTTAGGAGGGGGTCGATGAATCAGGGATTTGGAGTAGGCCTCCCAGATGGCTTAGCTGCCTCGATACGCACTTTTTGATACGCAACACGTACCGTGCTCAAAGCGTCCGTGTCAATACGCTGCGTGTTGACTCAACGTATTGGCCCACGCTTTGGCGAGCGCATCGCGTGAGACCTACGTTTTCAGGGTACGTGCTGCGCTCCGTATCAATACGCTACGTGTTGCGTGTTGCGTATCGGGGCAGCTAAGCCAGATGGGGTCCGAGTAGATGGGGTCGGAGGATCGCGCCGCATCGCCGATGCATCGACGATGCGGCTCGATGTGGAGCCCGTGTTTCCCCACGCCGACGTCGCTGATGCATCGCAGAGGTCGCCGATGCATCGCAGAGGTCGCCGATACATCATTTGCGATGCGGCGCGGTCCTTCGACCCCATCTGTCTGCTCGGACCCCATCTGGGAGGCCTCTAAGCTTGTACCTCGCCAGAGCGTTCCAGCCAGGCGCGGCAGGCGCAGATTAAACTTCGACCCTCCATCCCTCCAGTTTCCGCCGCAGGCGCCCAGAAGAATAATGATAATTTCAAATGGCGGCCGTACCCCCACATTGGAGGCATACCCCGTCATGCGTTGCCCAGGGTTTCCCAGGCGTTCCAGCCAGGTGCGGCAGGCGCAGTCGATGAGGAGTGTGGATCTGGCTGGAGCTGGTCCAGGGAGCAAGAACCACCCGGACCCGATAATTGGCATTTGCCAGATGGCCCCGGGCGTTTATGAAACGGCCCTGCCCTGCTCGATTCTTTCCTGGAACGCGTTTGCTAAACGACTTCGCGTGTCGCGTCGGCGTCACCCCGACATACTCATATTATATGTGCGTCGCCCCCCAGGGGCGACGCGCGCACCTAGAAATCTTTCAATATATGCGTCTTGGCGGGCGCTTTCTGGCCACACCGCTCGGGAAACGATATACTACAAGATGGGTATACTAGATGTTGAGCTCGAACGCGCGCCTCCAAGGAGAACCTATAGTACTAGTATGTCTTTTTGCGTCCCGTGTCGGGGTGGTTATTATGGGCGTGGGTTTTTTGCCCTCGAGCTGGGGGCACGTTCTTCTTTGATTATATGGGATTTCCTGGACGGTCCCCATGGCTTCGTGGGCCCCCCGCGGCCCGCGGGCATCACGGGACAGGATGAAGTCGGGCGTGTCTCTCTACAGGAAGAATATCAAAAAATAGGAAAAGATAGTTATGTTTTTTGTTGTAATAAGTTCTGATTATATTGAACCTGTTTGGGGTATATTTTATTGTTCTTCCAGAATCCGCCTGTAGGAGGACATGCCAGATCTAAGGATAGGAAGTTACCGTGGCACAGCTGCTTGCAGGCTGGATTTTGACTTTGACGTGCCTACTGCAGTGGTGTTCCGCAGGGGCTGGGCCAAGAGGTCGGCCCCAGCTCTGGTCCGTCGCCGGCCATTTCGTCGTCCCGGAACTCGAGGCAGCTTCCATGTGCAGTTTCCCTGGGCCGGGCCAGCTGGTGTGAGCTCCGACTTGACAATCTAGAGCTCCCCCTCGAATGGGAAGGTGGAAGCACATCCTCCATGAACAAGCACACTCGCTCCCACGAAGCGGCGTCAGGCCGCTCCTCGAGGAGCAGCACAAGTCTCCGCGGCAGCCTTCCGCGACCGTGCAGTGTGGTCCGTTCTGGCTCTCTGAGTGGCGCAGATCCGTGGCCAAGAACCCTCAACCGCGCCCATGGGCTCGTCGCTCGGGGGTGGAGAGAACCCCCAGCGGTGACACGTCTGTCAGTGAATTGTCCGTTTTCGCTTCTCGAGAGGGCGCCGTGGCCGTTGTTTTCCAGGTTTGCGCCCTCCAGGTTTGGGCCTCAGATCGTTTTCACTAAACTACGTTTTACTAAAGGGGCGGTCTGTCCATCCCCGAGTCGCGAAGGCCGGGGGCCGTGCACCCAAGCCTCGAGAAGGATCCGTGCACGGCCCTGACGACGGCCCTCGAGGACAACGAAGCCGCCAACTGCGAGCTCCTATCACCCCCCTTCACTTCGCTTCTCTTCGCCTTCCCTGACTCACCATTCCCCGTCTAAGATCACGCCACGCCCGTTGACCCGAGCCGCTTGCACACTCACGCTCACGTCGTCGTCGCCGTCGTCGTCGCAGAGGGCCTCGTGCTCGGCCCTCTCGCTGTCGTCGCCCTCGTCCTCCTCTTCGCCCTCGCCGCCCCCGTTGCCGTCTTCGCCCAGCCGTCGCCGTCCTGCCCCCCCCCTCTCTCCCTTCGGGGGCAACGACAGGGGGGGGATAGGCATAGGGGGTGATGCATCGGCCCCCAATCGCCCATCGATCGCCGATAGGGGCCCGATAGCCCCAACCTGCCCGGGAAGGTGTGGATTCACTCGTCGGGGCCCTTTGCCGATCCATCGGCGATGCCTCGCCGATTCCGGGTCGATGCCTCCCCCCCCGCTATCTGCCAGTGCCCCCCCCCACGATCGTCGCCCCTCCTCTCCTCCCTCCTCCGCCGCACCCGGCCGCGCCCAGCTCTGCAAGCCAGCGCGACGACGGCTTCTTGTGGCCGCCCCGCGCCCCCCTGCGCCGCTCCCTTCCCCGCGCGCCCCCCTCGGCCCCGGCGCGGGAGGAGGTCCGGCCCGAGGGCGGGGGCCCCTGGGCGCCCTCGGGCCCCCGCTCGGGGGGCGACTTCGGGCGACTTCGGGAGGCCTCCAGGGTTGAGTCGGGCGGGTCCCTCTACGAGAGGAGTGCTCAGAAATAGTCAGAGAATAGTCTGGGGACGATGTTTTGTGCATCTTTTTCTGGCCATTCGGGAATATGTTTTGACTGTCTCTTATTCTTCGTCCGAAATCCCGCTGTACTCAGGGGGACACGCCCAACCTAACTCCAGGGCGGGGCTCCCCCGAGGGGGCCTCGGGGCCATCGCGGAGGCCAGCTCCTGCAGGCTTCGGGGCGGGGGGAGGCGTCGGGAGCGTCGGCACGGGGAAAGAGAGAGGAGGTCGGCGGCGATCGTGTGCAGATCGGGGGTGGCCGATGGGGTGTCGTGCGATCTGGGGCTGCGCATCTTTGCTTTTCCACCGCTTCCACCCAGCCCAACTCTGAGCTCGGCGCGCTCTTCTATCTGGGTCCGTCCTGTCCATGACATTGTTGTCGCTGCTGCTCATGTTTCTCCTCGCCATCCCCCTCCCGTCTCCCTCCTCCAGCTTCCATTCTCTGTGTTCGTCTTCCTCGCACCCACCCTCATCCTGCTCCTGCGCGTGTCATTCCCTCCTGCTCCGTATCGTGGGCCCGGTCGGCGTCGCCCTCCTGTAGCTCTCGGGGGCGGCAAAGAGGGGGGTGATGATAAGGGGGGAGGATATCATGGCGTGGGCCATGATGTTTCCCCAGATTTCATGGCGCCTCTTCTTATTTCCTTACGTCCCTAGCCCCCCGGCTGGGCCGCGCACATGCCGCCGGTCATGATGTGCACTCCCCCCTCTCTTGGACACCCCCGTCTTGGCCGCTCCCGAGCTTCTCCTTCTCCCGCTCCCTCCTCTTCCCTCCTCCTGGCCGCTCCCGAGCTTCTCCTTCTCCCGCTCTCGCCTCTTCCCTCCGCCCGTTCGCTGTGCTGCTCCTGCTCTCTCTGTCGTGACCGTGATCCTGCGCGTGCTCCTGGCATCCTCTGGTCGTCCGCCTCGTCGACACCACCACCGGCAGCCCCACAAGACTCCCCCCCTGCCTATCCTTCTCGTGCTGCTGCTCCTCGTGCGCTGCCCCTCCCCTCGTCCTCGCCGCCCTCCGCCCTCGCCTGGCATCCTTCCTTTTGTCCGCACTGTTGTCCTCTGCTCCTCCTCCTCCTCCTCCTCCTCCTCCTCCTCCTCCTCCTCCTCCTCCTCCTCCTCCTCCTCCTCCTCCTCCTCCTCCTCCTCCTCCTCCTCCTCTCGTCCTCCTCCCTCGTCCTCCTCCAGGCCGACCTGTGCTCAGGGGAGCGTTGCAGCCGCGTGCTTCCGAGCGCGCCGCGTCTGCGCTAGCCGGGAGAACGCAGCGAACACTGTGCTCGAACTCGGTCGGCAGGTCCAGCTGCCTGCGGTCGGAGCTGTGGAGTTCAACGGCGCCCCACAAGGTGCAAGGCGCTTCGAGCCGCCTTCGACCCCCCGTGGGTCACAGGGAGCTGTGGCGAGGGGAACGGCGAGGGCCTATCCGAGGAGCCGCGGGCGCCTCCCAACTCGGAGGAGGACGAGCCGCTCGCTGCCGCGGCAGAGGACGGAAAAGCAGTGGGGTGCAGCAGGCTGTCCTCGCTTTCGCCGCAGACGGAGGAGGAGAAGGAGGAGGAGGAGGAGGACACGCCTGTGGACCTCTCCAACGAGCCCCCCGTCACAGATACTCCAGGGCAAGGGCGGCAAGGCCGAGCAGATGGAGAAGGTCAGGGGCTGCGTGGCCCGTGGCCGCAGGGGCCGCCCAGCTGGCCAGAGCGCAGGGGGGTCCACCATCAGGATTTGGCCTTGTTGCGCGAGCGCGAGCGCAAGAAGGCTGACTTCGACGAGCTGGTTACGAAGAAGTGTGTGGAGGCGGCGCTTCAGCAAGGAGCGGGACATGAACAGCCCTCCGAACGCCACTTTCGGGACCGTCGGGGCCGATTTCTGGGTGCAGCTGGCGGGCCGGCCCGCCCAAGATCTACGGGGCTTTCCCTTGTAATTTTCGACGCCGCTCGAGACGTCTCTAAGGGCCCCAGAGGCTCAATTTCGACTGGGCGGCCGAAGAGCAACGATCGGATGTGGCTCGCTAAAGCCCCATGCCAGCTGATGGCGTTCCTGCTAGCGTCGGCGGCGCAGCAGGGCCTTCGGGCGGAGGTGTTGCAGGATGTGGCAGTAGCGCCGCGACAGTGGACTCAGCCGGTCCAGACGTCGACATCTACGATGCGCTGCTGGAGCAGATCGGCGAAGTATTCGAATGCATGTCCATGGGCAAGCCCCAGCTGGGCGTTACCAAGCTTGAGGACCGTGCCCGCTTCAAACGACCCGCCGACACACTCAAGCGGGACACGGGGCAGACGCAAGGACGACCAGAGATTGGCAAGTGAGAGCGTCGGTGGGGCATACACAGGTGGGGTGGCCCGATGCCCTCACCAGGCGCGTTCGCGAGGTCCCGTCAGAGGGGGCCGCCGATGCGCCCGCCCATCGGGGCCAGCACAAGTCAGGTGAGCACCCGAGACAGATGGCATCAATCGAGGCCTTGACAAAGACGGGCGGCGCCCTCACATGGCCTGCCCCCGCAGGAGCCATGCAATCGACGCGGGAACCATCCTCTGCGATGGCGGCCTCCTTGTCGCGGAGCGCCAGGGCGTCAGCGAGCCTGGGGGCGGGCCTGCGAGGCGGGCGATCGTCGCCCTCCCGCGGGCTACATTCGGATTCGGAATGTTGAGTCGGACCTCGGTCAGGAAGGTCAGGAAGGCGGGCGGCGGTGCGCCTTCGAACGCAGGAAAGTCAGGAACGAGGGCGGCGGGGCGATCCTCGAGCCCCGCCCTCGTGGCATCGCACTGCCCGGACGCAGAAGTTTTTTTTTTGGGGGGGGGGCGTGCGCCAGCAGCCTGGGCGCCCTGGCAGCGCCTTCCCGAATGGCCCAGATTCACAGAGCCCGCGCCGACGCTTCAAGGCAACTCGGGCAGGCGCGCGGCGCTCTTCAGACCCGCCGCTATGGCCGCAACCAGGCTGGCCCAGGCCACGCCGCCCGCGATGGCTGACAGGGGCATCGAGCCCGACGACTTCACGAGCTGCGCCGAGCAGGCCGCAAGGGCGGCGGTCAGACCAAAGGCCCTCGAGCGCGGACGGAAAGAGTGCCACTTTGGCATCGTCTCGGAGGTGCCGACAAGCAGAGGCGGCGAGGCCGAGGCCAGCAGCAACGGGCCCATCTTCCCCAGCCCCCCGCTCAGCATGGGAAGCGCGGCTGCAGGGCCTCCGCGGCAGGGGCATCATCTCGGAGACGGCTCACCCATGGCTTCCCGTCGCAGCGCAGGCCGCCCGCGGGGCCCGCGCCGCGGCAGGTCAGCCCGCGGGGCCGGCCGCGGGGTGTCGGGCAGGAACTTGGCAGCATCATTCTGGACGCCCGAGATGGGCACGGAAAGAATGGGCACGATGCCCAACGGCAGTTCCTGTTCATTCTGAACAGGATTCGCTGCCCACGCCGCTGCGCCCTGTGCCCATTCGAGACAGAAGGCCGCCTGCCCAACAGCGGCCGCTGTTGGTTTGGGACAGCGTTTGTTCTTGGGCATTGTACCCATTCTTTCGGTGCCCATATCGGGTGTCCAAAATCATGCTGGTCCGCGACAACCGCGGATCACCCGCCCATGCCCCGCGGCCCCAGGCGCGACGAGTGCCGAGTGGTAGCGCGCAAGGGGCGGCTGCCCCTCGGCGCGAGAGTTGCCCGCCCGCCTGAAGGCCCCCGCGAGCCGCCGATTACTTGGCAGAACACAGTGGCATTTTTTCAGAGAAAGGTATTTTTCCCAACGCCCTCTCTGGCTGCGTTGGTTCTACTCGTCCGCTTACTGGTTCGATATCATAAGGAGGATGAGGAGGCGATAGGAAGACAAGAGGAGGAGAAAGAGGGAGGAGCACTCGGCAGGAGGAGCAAGGCGAGGAGGAGGAAACCCCTCCTTATTTTATAATCCTCCTCCCTCTTCCTCCGAACAGCCTCCACCTTCTTCGTAACCCCTGCTCGTTCTCCCTCCTCTTCTCCCTCCTCCATCCCCCATCACCCTCATCCTCCATCCTCCCTCATCCCTCGTCCTCCTCTTCGTTTTGTTTCAGTATCATTTCCTCGTCATCCTCTTCTCTTCAACTGTTCTGCTCCTCTTTTCATCATTCCCTCTCCCTGTTGATGTTTAATTCGACGATGTGCGTACGGCGAGAGACCTCCGCCAGTCCCGGTTCGCGTTCTCCCAGATCCGTTTGCTGCACCTTCTCTTCATCATCCTCATCCTCATCCTTATTTTCCTCATCTTCCTCCTTATCTTCTTCTCCTCTTCGTCCTCCTCCTCCTCCGCCTCTCCCTTCCTCATCCTCCCCCTTCCTTCCTCCTTCTCCTCCTCTTTCTTCTCTTCACCACCCTCCCTCCTCCTCCTCCTCAGGGCCTCCTCCTCCTCCTTATCCTCTCCTCCTCCCTCCTCCTCCTCCTCCCTCCTCCTCCTCCTCCTCCTCCTCCTCCTCACTCCTCCTCTCCTCCTCCTTCTCCTCCTCCTCCTCCTCCTCTCCTCCTCCTCCTCCCCCCCCTCCCCTCCTCCTCCTCCTCCTCCCCCCTCCTCCTCCTCATCCGCATCCTCCTCCTCCTCCTCCTCCTCCTCCTCCTTCTCATCTTCCTCCCCTCTTCCTCCTCTATTCCTAGCAATGCGCTGCAAATGCCGTGCACCCTTGTTTTGGGTGCCATGCACCCTTGTTTTGGGTGCGTACACGGGAAAAAGTTGCTGGGGGACAAGGTCGTTGGGGACCGAGTTTGTTTGATGTCCTGGGATCGACGTCAAACGGCCCGGGCCCTATCGGGCCCTTTTTCCGCGGGGTCGGCGTTCTGTCCCAGGAAAGACGGATGCGCCTTTC